TGAATTATTTGCTAGCTTATCAGATAGTGAAGAAGAACTTGTTATTGATGAGCAGATGCATTTATGTAAGTCAGTGTCTTATGTTCATCTCATGTTTATGACCAGCACTGGTAAAACTCTCCATTTGTCGCAATTTTTAATTTCCCACAAGCACCCAAAACATTTGAGAATCAGAATTTGGAACATTTTCAGGTTTTTTAATTTTAAAAAACTTAAAAGAAGATATATTGAAGAACATTTTTGCAAAATATCAATCACTTAATCTAACTAAAAAAGCATATTAAAATAATTTTTAAAATACAAGTCTTAATAACAAACTATTGATTTTGGAAGCTGTTTTCTCAAAACCTGCAGAACAAGGCTGATATCAAATGAATTAAATATTCATAACTATATTATTTATATTACTGTATGACCCCTTCTGAAATGAGCCTAGCAGCTTAAAGGGTTATCCTCTGTTATCCGTGTCTTATTGTCAATATTTTGCTTTTGTGTAAAAGCAGATTGGCGCAGTGTGAAAAGTTTGGTTTCCCAACCTTTAGGTCGGAGAGTTTTCAATCCCTCGCTGTGCATTTCGCTTGTGCCCTTGAGCAAGGCACTTTATCGGCATTGCTTCTCTCCACCCTGGAGTTTAAATGTGTACCTGGTAAAGTTGCTTGCTCCTGCGCTGACTACAGCAGCAACACTTATGCATGTGGATCCAATGACCAGGGAAAGAAGTGCTTCGCTGCAAAGAAAGGCACTACAGTATATAAATAACCAAATATGAATATGTGTTTTTTGAAATGATTTTTTTATTTTTATAAAATGTAATTTGATTATTTTTTTATATTGAATGGATAACAATAAACATTATGGTATACAATGTGATTCTATCACAGCACCAAAACGAAAGAAACCAAGAAAAGATGAATTGTCCAAGCTGAAGGAAATGACAGTGAAAGCTGATAAAGACGAAAATGATTTCGAAATAACACCACCACCCTCCCCGACAGATGATGAAATAATAATGATGCGTGTAAATCAAATGCGGTCTAGTAATACCGAGAAGCCTGCTATTAAGGGCGTAAGAAGGAAATTAGCAATGAAGGATGCAGTCAGTAAAGTTGTGTTAACTAGGCAACCGTCAGGCGCATTTATCACTGTAACAGGATGCGATGGTCGGCGTGTGTATTTGAGGAAAACTCTGGATAAGGTAAGCCAGTGACGTAAAATGGAGAGGTGCTGCTGATGTCGAGGGGCTAATCTGTCCATTAGGCATCTGACGATATCCATTGGAGGTCAGTGGGGTCCAGGAACTAAGCTTCCTGGTGCATGCAGAAACAAGAAAATTTTGACCATGAGATTGTGTTTTTGTAATCTTATAATTTCAGTAATCTATTGCACATCAAGAAGAAGTTTTTTAACTGTTTCCCTGGCAAAAAAAAAAATTTATTTCAGTTGTTGTTGTTGCAGTTGTTGTGTTACGCACTTGTGTGTTTATGAATACTTATGATTCTTTTTAGCCCGAGAAATCCAGCTTAGTGATACAAAGAAAGACGCATCTTTTAAGTTGTCCAGTTTCTGAGCTTAGAAGGCAAGCAGAGCTAGAGGTAAGATCAATAGTGATAGGCTGGCAAATTGAGGCCGACTTTGGGGCAGCTTGCAAAACTAGGAAGGGTTAAGGCTATTTTGGATGTGTACGGGTCATTCCATATGAACTCAACCAGAGGTCCGCAGGTGACCGATTCCGATTTGGCTAAAATTTATTTTGGAGATACCTCTATATGAATAATAAACACAAATGCAAAATTCTAGACTTTTACTCCAAGTGGTTTCGGGTTACAGCCCCCCAAAAATCGGGTGCTATGCCCCCTTTTCGGCCTCTCGATTTGCGAACTTCAATTTATAGGGTTTTTGGAGGTCAATATCTTCTTAATGAGACGAGTTAGGGACTGAAATTTGGTAATCAGGGTATTTCTGGCCCAGGCTTTCAGAATCTGCTGTCAGAATTGATCTATCTCTTTTCATTTTCAAGCAACTGCCCTCTCAAATGTGTATCTTTTTATAGGCGGAAATCAAAAAAAGTTTTCAAGTCCTCCCTGTGAGGATAAGAACACTTACAGATAGTTAATTGTGCTAGAATCCTGCTATCTGTGGACAGGTCTGTGTGTAAAAGAGAGATTGACTATATCCAAGCCATAACCATGACCATGGGCTGTAAGAGAGACTTAATTATTATGCACACTTTACAGTCTGGTTTTTCGAGGTGTTCTACATGATGTCATTGAAGAAGTGTTAAGGAGGCTCAGATACAATATATCAGACCAATTATGAAGATTTATGTATTAATTTGGGAATCCAATTACTAATTCTCATTGTTCACAAGTTTTAACAAATTTTTATATGAATTTTTACCCTCTGTCAGAGGCAGAAGAGATTGATGTCTATTGTAGATGAAAGAACATCCACAGATGTCAGGTATGTAAATTCAATAAATTGTACATTTTTGGTTTGCATTAAAGCTCTCCATGTTTTTATGTTAACCACAGTTTTATTTCCTTTAACCAGATTTAATAATCAAATCATATGAGGCATGTCGTGGCAAAATGGTTAAGTTGTCGCACAGGCCATTATTGAGTAAATGAGCTTTAAAATATGGGAGCTCAAAAAATAGCCTAAAAATCCAAATTTGTTTTTCACTCTAGATCAACAGTTTAATGTCTTATTAATCATGTCCCAAAGTATTAGTTCTGAAAGTGGTCAACAAATTGTTTATCTAATGTTATTTTGATAGATTATTCTATTAAACAATGTATGCACAAAGAACTTTGAAAGGCAATTACTCAAAATCATGTTTATCTAGCCTCTAAGAGTACTGTATTTTCACTTTCCAATAACTGTGGCTTAAAATGTCCAATTTCAATGAATGACCCCTCATTTTAAAAATCACATAATCAGGTACCTGAAAGTACCAATAACTTGAATTTCAATTTTTGCTACAACATATCCATTTTGCCACAACATGCCTCATATGTAAAAATATACATGCTATCTTGAACTTTCTGAATCCCTATTTAGACTCTCAAATTTCATTTGACAAAAACGAGATGCCTAAATATAGGGCGTGATGACATCACATCATAACCATATATAGGCACATTATGACTATATATGAGCATACAAAAGTTTTTTGCATAGGGAAATTTGACTATACATACTAAATTTGTTTTAATATATTCACCAAGTTTAAATATATTAAAAAGATATATATATTTAGCAACAAATTCTGAAATGTCAAAAAATTCAGTTTAAATATGCTTTAAAAATGAACATAATTTTTTTGTGAAATTTTATACCTACCGCTTTTTACCTGCTTTTTTACTTTCACTTTTACGTCTTTTAATGTTTAACTAGAGTGTTAATTGTTTTTATTAGTTTTACTAGTAA